AGCAGCAGCGGTCCTGTGCGGCGGCTTGCACCTCCGCTGCTGCTGTCCGCAGCCTTCGGGTCTTGGCCCTTGTCGGTCGACGGACTGCTGCTGCTCGGCTGGCTGCTGCCTGTGGCTTCTGTAGCACTCATGGAAGTAGAGGTAGGAGCTGTCTGCGATTGCACGGCATCACCTTGTCCGACTGCAGCCTGAGCAGGACTCTCAACAGGCTCCCCATTGGGGTGATCTTCAACAGCGCTCTCAGCCTCAGGTGTGTTTACTGCAGGTGATGGGACACCAGAAGCTGGGGCGCTACTCTTCGCATTTGAACCTCCTTTGGGGCTATTCAAAGGGTTATCGACGTCACCCTGCTGATCCTTTTCTGTGATCCTGTCGTGCGGAGGCTGATGCTGATGCTGTCCATCATGCGGCGAACCTTCACGGCTATCATTGCTGTAGTGTGTCTCATCTCCCTTGATTATTTTCTTCTCGTCTCCCTCACCCAATCCGGGCGCCTTCGTTAAGCTCACCTCATTCCGTTTTGCCTCATCGGAAAGGCCTTTGAGGTTCCCCTGAGCCTCCTGCGCTTCACCGGCACCACGATCAATACACTTCTTACCATCGGCCGACAGAACCTTCGGCGGTTGGCAGTGCTGTGCTCCCGCTGAGCCCTGGGGATTACCAGTATTAAGGTCATTCTTAGGTCCCACCACATCCGAATCACGGCACGGTGCAGTCTTACCATCTCGGCATGTCCCACCCGTCACAGCCTCTGGCTGTCCCACGCCAGGGACCTTGGCGTGACGGCAATTTGGAGGGTTTTTCGTAGAGCAGGAAGGATCGTTTTTAGAATCATCTGGGTCTTTGCATTTCTTCTTATCAATCTCCTCACAAATTGGGGCACTGCCGCTGACTTTATTATCACCATCTTCTGTACCAGAGTCACCCGATTGATTAGCACCTTCATGTCCTTCAACACCGCCACCTGATGCAGCGCGGCCGGAACCAGTACACTTACTCTTATCAGTCTCTGTGCATTCCGCAGCAACGGTTTCAACTTCACCTGCAGCACACCCGCAGGCACACCACACGCAGAGCACACACACAAACAACACGTAGCGCATCATTATCACCGCCGTCAGCACTGCTCCCACAGAGAGAGAGAGAGAAAGCAGAGAGGAACAGACAGTACAGAGAAGCATCCATGCAGCATTCAGCCCGCCACTTCAGTGCCGCACCACAACCACCCACACACACACATCCAAATCAAACACCCAGTGACGAGAAGCCGAGGCATGACGGCGGCGGCGTCTTGTTCCCGCAGGAGCGCACCCCAACAGCCAAACAAACAATGGAAGTGCCTGCCATCAAGTGTGCCCCTGCCACACACCCAACACACAGCTGCAGGCATCACACAACAAGCCCATCAAGCACCGCAGGCCCATCCCCAGTCACACACAGAGAGAGAGCAGGAGATTGGGCGGCGAGGGAAACACACACAGACGGGGGGAAACGAAAGAGCCGCAGCACATCCACACAGACGAATGGTGTTTGCGAAGCAAGTTGTTAAGGAATTCCCGCACAAAGCGAATGCACCCAGGCATCCTGGTGCCGCAGTACACACACACACAGAATAAAGGGATATCGCACTCCACGAGCACACGGCAAGCAAAAACAAGAAAAGAAAAGCAATTACAATTAACGCACCCTCCACTCCACACCACAAGGATGCTACACAGACACACAAAGCACAGAAACAACCACACAAAGAGAGGGCAGCAGCAGTAGGGCCACCCCAAGCAACAATTACGAAGAGAAGGGAGAAGCACATCCACCATGAAACAGCAGCGCACAGCGTGGGGCAGCACACCCCGCGTCCCCAATGGCGGGGCTCAGCACACAGCAGTCACAGCCAGACCACCCAGCCACATCACAGATAGCAGCAGCAGAAGCGGAGGTGCATGCACCCACACAGGACCGCTGCTGCTGTCCGCTGCCTTCGGGTCTTGGCCCTTGTCGGTCGACGGACTGCTGCTGCTCGGCTGGCCGCTGCTGACTGTGGCTTCTGTGGCACTCGTGGAAGTAGAGGCTGAAGATGTCTGCGATTGCACGGCATCACTTTGCTCGACTGCAGCCTGAGCAGTACTCTCAGCAGGCTCCCCATGGGGGCGAGCGTCAGCAGCGCTCTCAGTCCCAGGTGAGTCTGGCGCAGGTGATGAGACAACAGAGCCATCGGCGTTATTCTTCGCACCGGTGGGTTTATCATCTTCCCCATTTATGTCAAGTGCTTGGGGAGTTTTTCCAAGAAGTTCATCCTTTTGTTGGCCTGGCTTGTTGTTTTTCTGGTTGTTCCTCTCTTTGCAATTCTCGCCGGATTCCTTGCGTTCACCATTCTTGCAAAGACCTTCTGCGTCGCCATCGTTACGAGGGCCAGGGGCATCACCCCTCTCTGATAGGGCGTTCGGCGCTTCCCTTTCCGTTTCGGTGGGGCTTAAATTTGGTCTTCTTTCCTCCAGCGTGCCACCACCACCACCACCACCCGCACCAGCTGTGGCACCAGGGACACCAACCTCTACAACTTGAGGCGTCTTGCCCTTACACTTCTCTTCGTTATTAGCAATATCTTGAGTCGTGCGGCAGGACGAATCACCGGCCGAATCCTGCACGAGCTCCCCTTGGCCTTCCAGAGCAGTATCGGGATCAGAAGCGGCCTGTATCCTTGCTTTATCCGCAGTGTCTTTCTCAGATTGAGAGCAATTAGTTGCACCCTCAACTGCCCCATCAGACGTAGTGCAAGTTTCCTTGGGCCCAGTACTGCCAGGCTGGCTCCCTGGTTCTCCTTCGCATGTCGACTTTGCACCATTATCCTTTCTGCACAAGTTATTAGGAACCTCGGGCACCACCACACCAGGATTACCATTTAAATTCGTCCCTTCACCACCTAGTTGCGAAGCCCCACTTCCTGATGCCAGGCATTTCTCCGTCTCTGAAACAACACAGGCCTGTGGTTTAGGGGTTTCCACACCCGTCGCAGCACACCCGCAGCCACACCACACGCTGAGCACACACACAAACAACACGCAGCGCATCATAATCACCATCGACGTCTTAGTCCTAGACTGAAACAGTGAAAAGAGGAGGAAAGAATTATACGGAACAGTTGCAACACTAGAATCATGCACAGAACATTTATCCAAACACTGCCGCAGTCATGCAGCAGGCAGCCCAAAGTGCACCACTTTTCCTCCCCGATGATTATAATTAGTCCTATGATTTGCTTAAACACACGGAACAATGCATAACGTGTGATTAAAGTTTATTCAGTTTTCTTTAATAAGACGGTCTCTACTGTGCCGCACAAAAGGCACAATCATATCTTTCTTTCCCCCCTTCTCTGCATTCGATTTTACTTTCTTTTCCCTTACCTCTCTCTCCTTGCCGCAATCCCGCAGCACCGTTTCCGCCAGGCTCGCTTACTTGAAGACGCGGCCCTCCAGCACCGGCTTCGGGATCGTCGGGCCTTCCCAGCACAGGTAGTCCGTGATGCGCTCACGCTGCGCCGCAACGTCGGCGATCTCCTCCCAGTCGAACAGCTCCGTGTCCTCCACGTCCTTCACAATCTCGGGCATGCCCTTGCCGCGGAACACCCACAGCGCCACGATGTCGTGCTTCTTCTCCTCGCCAATGATGAGCGCGACGCCAAAGGCGTACTTGCGCGTGTGCTCCATGCGCTGGAACCAGCCGCGGATCAGGTTCGCCGTCATGAACTGCATCTTGTTGTCCTCGTTGTACTTGTAGCGGCACCAGAACGCCGTGTAGCCGGCGGCGTCGAAGTTCTGGAAGAAGTACGGCGACGCAACCGTGCGTGTGTCAGTGTTGCTGTACTCGCGCTTGAACGCGTCCAGCACGAAGGGGCTGGGCGGCAGCTCGTCCAGCGGGTTGGGCTTCTTCTTATCCTTCGGCGCCTCGTCTTCGTCCGCGTCGTCGCGGGGGGCGGCCTTCGGCTTCTTCTCCGCCTTCGCGGGCGCAGCCGCAGCGGCCGCCTTCTCCGCACGCACCGGCCCGAACGTCGCACCCTGCGACTTCAGCACCTCCACCGTCTTCGGCTGCTGCATCACCGTGTTGTACAGGCGGTACGCGTTCTTGTACTTCTTCGTCAGCGCCTCGCCCTCCGCGCGGTTCAGGCGGTAGTGCCACTGCAGCGCAAACGCGACGGCGATGTCGGCAACCGTCAAGCGCTCGCCGACGAGGAACGTGCGCGTCTCCAGCCACGTGTCAAGGCCCAGCATCACCTCATGCACACGGTCCATCGCGTCGGGCGCGAGCGGCTCGCCGCGGAAGGCGTGCCTCAGGAACGGCACCACCGCCGCGTCGAGCTCCGACGCCGCGAAGTCGAGCCACATGTCCACCTGGCTGCCCTCGAACGGCGTGCGGCCGTACATGAAGGTGCCGCTCTTGTCGACGCGCGCGATGTGGCGCAGGATCGCGTTGGACTCGAAGATGTAGCCATCCTCCGTCTGCAGCACGGGGTAGCGGCCGCACGGGCTGCAGTTGCGGCAGTACTCCGCCGTCTCGTTCTCGCGGCCGTACTCGCACGGCTTCAGTGTCAGGGGCACGTTGGCGAAGGCCGCCGCGACCAGGATCTTCTGGGTGCGGGCGTTCTCGGGGTTCAGGGCGCTCCAAAGTGTCAGCGTCATTTGTGTTGGTTAGTGGTTAAAATGTGCAGGTTATCTTGTTACGTGCAACGAGAAATAATGACAACAACAATAAGAATAAATGGGAATTAACAGAGAGAGACAAAGACATGGTTGGAAGGTAGGGACGATGTCTTACACGCCCCGCGCACACAGCCTATCCCAGCAAATGTGGCGTGTCCCAGACGCCTAGCTCAGCATCACTGGTGACTGCTGGGACATGTAGGGTCCCGTCTCGTCGAGAGAGTGCGAGAGTGAGCAAAAACAAAATAAAGAAATGCGCATTTCATTTCCCCACCCCCTTTTGAAGGGTGTCTATGGTCGTGTAAGCAGGAGCAGCAAGTGGCAGCGAAACTCGGTACCGGAGTGCGGCCGACCCGACCACACGTCATCATGCTGACGTCTGGCTCTGGAGCCGCCATGTCGCTACACATAACGCGTGCATTCATTTGCCTTATTTCTCTTCACCAGCTGCACACGGCATTGCCGCTTGTTGCATGCGGAGTTCCTGGAGTCGGCGGTATTCACGTTTTTCGGCGTGTGTTCGATTCGTTCGCCGCCTGTGCGACCGCTTTTTCGCCACAGTCGTGTCCCTGTCGTTTATTGCCGTTATTGCCTCTTCTTCGCCCTTCTCCACCCCTGCAGGTGTTGCGCTGGACTCATCGAGTCCAATGGAGCTTTGATGCCCACTGGCGCTAGCGTTACTGGTGCTATTGGCGAAGTCCACGCCGCCCTGATGAGTGGCCACACCAAACCCGAATGAACGCGGTCGATGTGCGCCAAAAAAACCCGAGAGATAATTCCACATGCCGAGCGGTCGTGTGAATTGAAAGTATCGGCTCCCCAGAACGGAGTTAAAGAGCGAGACATTCGAAATGGGTACGGCAGTGTCGACATTGATTTTCGATGCGGCCTGACCACCAATCTCTACCGGGGCCGCAGCGTCATCCGAGCTGCAGTGTGAAACAGCCGTCCATCGAAAGGCTGGTGGCGTGGCTAACTCCACGTTCCCAGCGTGAGTGGTATCGCACTCGGATAGCCTCATCCCGAGGCTTCCCGGATGATAAAGTTGCTGTTGCTGCAGTTGTTGTTGCTGCATCACGCGGAGCCGTGCAACCAACTTCCGTTCCGTATCAATATCCAACAATGTTTTATTTCTGTGCTCGCCGGAAGCTGATGTTGTCGCATTGTCGCGCACTATTCGCCTCCTATCAATGGTGACGATTGGTATCTTTAGCCGCGGCGGTCGTATCACCCGGCTCCAGAGCTCATCGGGGTCTTTGCACTCGCGGGCCCGGCCCGGCTCCCCTTGCTGGGTGACCACATTGCAGCCGCCGAGGCTCCCCCACCGTGTGTCAAGTCGAACTGCTTCATTTGGCCCTCCTACGCCCACAGCAGCAGCTGCAGCAGCATCGGCATCGCCCACCGTCCTGCGTAGCTGCACCGCTCTGTCGCTCTTACGCCGCTTCCGCACCATGGTTGGCGGCAGCTGCACATTGATATCGGTGTGCATCGGGCAGTCGGGCGGCAGGGGGTCGGGATACGCGTCCGCCGTCCACGTCTCGCGCAGCGCGAGCAGTTCCCCCTTTGTGTACGTCACCCGCACCATTCACCCCTCACTGTTCCGTGCCAGTCCCCCCNNNCACCCACCTCTCAATACCCACTCCCTACCCCTCACTCGTTCCGTGTTCGCCGCCGCGGCTGCGTGTATTATGGAAGCGAGGAGGGAGGAACCCTGAAGGAGGCCGCAGCACTTCGCCCCACCCGTGTGACGTCTGACAGCAACTGCCGCCTGCAGGTGCAACACTGCCGGCTACAACACGTTTGCGTGTATGCAGAAGAAGCCAGCAAGAGGATAGGGAAGAGAAAAGAATGCGATACACACGGCAGCATGTGAGGTGCAGAAGGTGGAGAGGAAAGAAAATACAAAACGAGCCCAGTGGGACAGTGATGCGAGTGAAGAATCCCGCACACACACACACACACACACACACA